ATTTCGTTATAACCGTAGTTTACTGTAATTGCTAACCGTGTAAAACCCGAGTAACCTGATTATATTTCAATACAAGTAAAGACTATTAGATGTCTGATATAGTGATCCATTTGTTCTATTATTAAATATTATCACCACACAAGGTGTGTTTTATTGATATATGTTAATATACAGTTCAATTCGATGAGAAACGAACTTCAATATAAGTGAGCTTTGTAAAGAATGGACAGCTTCACAACACAATAGGGAAAAAGTAAGTTATCACATGTTCTATTGTATTGATTACATTAACCCATATGCTGTTCTTTACTGACTGCCCTGAACAAACAAGCATTCATTTATCATAAAGACACTGTCGAATAGGATATACATAGTGATACTAGTTTTCAGTTTAAAACATGGAGTTCTCTCCTTTTCGTTGGATTTGATGATATAAATACCGCATATGTAACACTATCTAAATATTGCAATTGGAACAAAGTAAATAATGAGGATTTGTAAGAATTTAGGTGGATATAAGAATGATCAATCCGGGTGATCGTCGTTTTCTTGTGCTAATGTTAAGAAAGCTTATGTTATATACTAGTACATAGTCTCCTAATCAACGCAATAGTATGCTAAAACAACTCAATGCCCATGTGCTTAGGTTTAAATCACTGCGACACAATTCCTGATTGTTTGTTGACACACGATTCCTAATGAAACTACTACGTTTGGCACAGTTAAATGTGATTATGGAAATATTATATTAAATTATAAAAAATAAACCAAAAAATGACAGAAATTACCAGAAAACTTCCAACAACAATACCAGTATCGGTTTATTACACATTTGAACTCTGTTGCTCTAGCCGTTATTAAAGCGTGTAACATATGTTTGGTGATATACAATGTCATGCAAAAGGTATGGCGCGTATCATATACAACACAAGCTTGTGTAAATGTGGCCATCAACATGTTATAGTGCATCGCCCGTATATGACATACTCTCTTACATGCGTGTATTTAACTGGCCATGTTTGGTGAAATCTAAAAAGTGGAAGGTTACTGCACGCTATTCCGTAATTGATATAGTTATACAAGGAACAGTATTTCGCTATTTGTTAATGTAACAGAACTGATCATGAAAAGATTTCTTATCGGTGTAAAGAGTTAAGATGAAGTGGAGTGAAATGGGGTTTGCCTCGCGTTCATGATTATTGCACACGTGCAGTGTGTGTGTGTGTGTGTGTGTGTGTGTGTGTGTGTGTGTGTGTGTGTGTGTGTGTGTGTGTGTGTGTGTGTGTGTGTGTGTGTGTGTGTGTGTGTGTGTGTGTGTGTGTGTGTGTGTGTGTGTGTGTGAACCATGGATATATACAATTAAACGAAATTACCTGCAGTGATATGTTGCATTTATATGAAACCAATAAAAGATCGATTCTCACTGCCCGTAGTTGTTTCCCAATACGTATTACAATGAGCTCTCCTACCTCAATGGCTCAACATGGTGGTGAACACACATACACACGCAATTGCAAAAAGTTCAGTTGATGCCCCATCTATGATGGCTGACACGCAATGACTCTCCAATATATATAAATAATGCCTGACAGATTACGTTTTAGTTCGACAAGACAAATCTTCAAAGGGTAGTCTAATTCAGGATCAGTCATCAAAATAGGATTGGTTTTGAAATTGTTTGTGCCGCATGAAGAAATGACCGCATGAAAGAAAGAAAGATGTCTTCAAACTCTTCTGAGCATTGAGTTAGTAATGTTTGCAAATTCAACTTTATGTTTGAAATAGAGTGAGTGAGTAAGTGAGTATGGTTTTACGCCGCTTTTAGCAATATTCCAGCAATATCACGGCGGGGGACACATGAAAATGGGCTTCACACATTGAACCCATGTCGGGAATCGAAACCGGGTCTTCAGCGTGACGAGCGAACGCTTTAAGCACTAGGCTACCCGACTGCCCGTTTGAAATAGAAGTTGCCTTCATGTTACACATGGTGAGACACACGGACACACGCACCAAAACAGACACACGCACGCACACGCAAACAAAGCAATGGCAACGTCGCCATCTTTACTCTAACTTATATCTGGTACTCGTTACCATATAACTGCAATACTGGTGACTTGACGTTAAAGTATAACTCATATCTAGTATCATTGTAACACCATTTGACCATACGAGAGATTAGACATGATTGAAAAGCAATCTGACACATTAATGGACCGTTAAGGCTTTCTCGTGATTGATGAACCCGATATCGACATCCTACAGTCATACCACGCCCACATAATACAACGCAACGCCAACACACGATATTGAAATGGAGCAGGTATTCAATACTTATTGTAATTACAATTAAAGGATGTCCACGCGCATTTCCGCAATTGAGGAATTTCATTAGGCTCTTATGTCCACCTGAGAATTCTCATGTTACCAATTTTGATCGTGCCGTGATACCGAGTATGTGCTTCCTTGTTAAATATTTATGATTCAGGTAGCTGAACGTAGAGACTGACGAGAAATCCTAGTGAGGTCCTGGAAGTGGGACATTCATCGTGTAGCTAACACGTTAATAATCATAGACAATGGGCAATCGTTCCGGTTCGTTTCCCGCTGATACTCAATCTGACATTTGCCTGATACAATGATGTTCTGCCTAATCAATATTACAAGGTGTCTACACTCTGAGTGACATTACGTCGTACAAACGACTCTACAAATCACATAACCTATTTGCAGTAAGTGGATCCGACGTATTTCTATATATTAAATAAAAAGCGAAAAAGCCCTTTTCATACTGACTACATGACACTTTTTTAGGAATAACAACTTCTTTTATTGGTCTATAGAAAAGTGTCATGTTGACATGTTCTTAAAACTAAATGCCTGTCAAAGACCTCCTGTCCATATTCATAAGAAATATCTGCTAAAAAGCAGTCGATTGTACGGTTCGCATGAGGTTTATGAATCACTATCAAGCAGTGATGATATAAGGTCTATCTCTAATGAGGTGCGTGTCTAATTAACTGGTGGTCGGGTAGCCTAGTGGTTAAAGCGTTCGCTCGTCACACCAGAGACCCGGTTTCGATTCCCGACATGGGTACAACGTGTGAAGCCTATTTCTGGCGTCCCCCAACGTGATATTGATGGAATATTGCTAAAAGCGGCGTAAAACCATACTAACTCACACCCTCTAAGTGACACCAAGATGTCAGATTGACCCTCAGTGATATGGATATTTAGGATTTGGCGTGCCTGTGTCATATTTGATATGCATTTTTTTACCTTTACATATAATGTGCTCAGCCAGACAATTTACATGTGAACTGGTGAATTACTACAGAAAAGTTAAAGATTTTCGATATTTATCCTGTCCACAACATACTGTTCACGCCGTGTCATTTTGCTGTTTGGCAACACCTGGGACATGAGTCATGTGGTATACAATATGGATCTGATGTTTAAAAAGCTGTACGTGAAATACCGCCGTGATCAGAAATCACCCCAAAAGGCCTTCATAGTCACCATAATGGTAGTGGTAAGATGGGGCTGTCCAACAGGATCGAGGTCAATACCTAGTCATGTGTTACTGAAGGGGCGTTTTCACCAATACTGCTCCTTACCGAGACCGACTTTTCACAACATGATTTACATATTTATGAAGTACGTAAATACAGACACTCCAAATGCTCACTGTATTGTATTAACATCTGTTAGCGAGGTGGTGGCACGTGGTCCTATGCAGAGAGCGCAGGTCACGAGTGAAGATTAGCAACGTTGGTTGCCAAGGGTATTTGGGTGGATGATGTGACTGTTAAATTTCTAGCCATGGGGGCAGCTTGGGTTGTATGCTCAAGAAGTTGATGAGAATGAAATCGAGTGCACACCGATCCTCTGACCGCGAATAATGGTGTGTTTTGAGCATGATATCCTGGATGGAAATAACGAAATACAAATGATCTACCAGCATTGTTAATGGTCGGCTGATACTGTGAAATAAAACGCTGTGGGTCTGTCAGTTTTACACATCAGGACAATACTGACATTCCCAATCCTGCAAGAATGCCATAAAGATCAGTATGTGCTATTTATTTGTAGAGGGCGATACAAGTAGAGATTTCCTTTTCAAACATACACTTCAGTATATAAACAACTGTGCCCTTCCTTACTCGCCACATTGGTATATTAAATAATGCATCTGCTTAGGAAAAAGAATAAACTCAATACAAAATCAATATCATTTAATTACCTATTAATATATAAAAAAATAATTTAGATATCAATATCTATATAAAATAATAAAGTCCACGTCAGTCCAACATCTTCTCAGTTGAAACTGATGTAAAGAAGATGTTGGACTAACGTGGACTCTATTATTGTTTTATATATTACATGTACACCGAATCTGTGTGTGTGTGCGTGTGTGTGTGCGTGTGTGTGTGTGTGTGTGTGTGTGTGTGTGTGTGTGTGTGTGTGTGTGTGTGTGTGTGTGTGTGTGTGTGTGTGTGTGTGTGTGTGTGTGTGTGTGTGTGTGTTTACTTTACCCTAGCTACATACATAATTATATGCTTATAACGAACTACGGTTAAAACGAACTAAAATTAGTGGTCCCTTTGAGTTCGTTATAACCGTAATTTACTGTATACTACTTATTTAGACAGCACATTCCTATGCTATACCTCCATCCTTAAGTCCTTAAGAAACTATCTAATGTGAACCATGGATATATACAATTAAACGAAATTACTTGCAGTGATATGTTGCATTTATATGAAACCAATAAAAGATCGATTCTCACTGCCCGTAGTTGTTTCCCAATACGTATTAAAATGAGCTCTCCTACCTCAGTGGCTCAACATGGAGAAACAACAAATCTGTTTAAATGTTTCACGACAAGGCTTTCACAAATCACATTGGACACCATCTGTTTGATAGTCAAATATTGTTGACAGCGTTGCTATAGTAATATGCATTGCCTCGTGAGAATACCCCCCAGCACCCTGCGTCCGTTTGCTGTACGCACTGGGACTGGACTCCGACAGTCGCTGTTGATAATGCGCCTTCAGTCTCATTCTCAACAATCAAATATTAACGGTCTTTGTCATATTAGGTGTACGGACATTAGTGCCAGTGCGCGCACACCATCTGACCATAATAGTGGGCTACAAGCTGCCTGCAAACCTCGAATACCATCGATTTGGATTGTCTCTAAAGTTTCTGAACAATCCACGTGGTAAGGAAGAAGATCTCAGATTTATTACACGCGATGGTTTATGGAGGTACGCTGATGGCTGGTGTTGCACTTGTCATGCTCGTAGGAATGTTAGGTAAGTTAACTTCAAATTATCTATTTCTGATTATAAGCTGTACACGTGATGCGGGAGTCTCAACACAAGATTGTCTCTGCTCAACAGCTGTTAACTATATTGGATAGTTGAATTTGTATTTAGTTTGATTCCAGGAGTAATTAATGAATGCTTCCATGTGAGACTATGTAATATACAACAGACTGACATGGTGTATCTGCCGGCGTGTGTCTTAATGAACGCTTCCATGTGAGACTATGTAATATACAACAGACTGACATGCTGTATCTGCCGGCCTGTGTCTTAATGAATGCTTCCATGTGAGACTATGTAATATACAACAGACTGACATGGTGTATCTGCCGGCGTGTGTCTTAATGAATGCTTCCATGTGAGACTATGTAATTATACAACAGACTGAAATTGTATATCTGCCGGCGTGTGTCTTAATGAATGCTTCCATGTGAGACTATGAAATTATATAACAGATTGACATGGTATATCTGCCGGCCTGTGTCTTAATGAATGCTTCCATGTGAGACTATGCAATTATACAACAGATTGACATGGTATATCTGCCGGCGTGTGTCTTAATGAATGCTTCCATGTGAGACTATGTTATTATATAACAGATTGACATGGTATATCTGCCGGCCTGTGTCTTAATGAATGCTTCCATGTGAGACTATGTTATTATATAACAGACTGACATGGTGTATCTGCCGGCCTGTGTCTTAATGAATGCTTCCATGTGAGACTATGTAATTATACGACAGACTGACATCGTATATCTGCCGGCGTGTGTTAATGAATGCTTCCATACTTAATACTAATAATGTTGATGGTGATGATGATGACGACGAAGATAAGAACAATCATACTCATAAGTTAAGGTAAGTTTTCAGCTGACACTAAAATGCAGCGTTGACGATGTTTTGATGACTTCGGATAGTTTGTTCCATTCCAAGGCCGCAGTTGTTGGGAGATATTTAAAACCAAAAGGTTTTAGCTTCCATCCAGGAACTCAAAATAACTTTAAGTGTATTTCACATGATCTGATCATGGATGTTGAGATATTTTGAGAATAAGAGAAATATGCATGAGGGTTCTAGCCTGGTGTTCTTTACTGAAACCAGGTTTTGTTGCCAAATGAGAATGTTTAACAATGACTGATTAAACGTGCGTGCTGCAATCTGACCTGTTGCGAAACTTTGTTAAATGGTTTTGGATCACGGAAATCTTACAGATTGTTCACTGCATATGAATACTTTTCTTTTAACCCTGCGTAACTGAGGTTTTCTGTTCGTAAGTATCGGGCTGAAGGCAGTGAATTTTCTTTCACCTAAGAACTGATCTGATATCTGAGTGAGTGACAATAATTTTACGCCGGTTTCTTTACAATTTTCCAGCAGTATCAATGCGGGGGACAACAGAAATGAGTTATTACACATTGTACCCATGTGGGGGATTTGCTTTAATGTTTTCAATCTATATCATTCATCATTTTCTGAACGTATGAACATTAGAATTGTTAAGATGACTCTACCATATTGTTTGTTTGTTTGTTGTTTAACGGTCTGTCAATAATCGAGTCTGGACCAGAAAATCCAGTGATTGACATCATGAGCATCGATCTAAACAATTGGGATACGATGACATGCATCAACCAAGTCAGCGAGCCTGACCACCCGATCCCGTTAGTCGCGATCTTTCGACAAGCACAGTTGCCTTTTACGGCAGGCATGGGTTGCTGAAGACCTATTTACCCCGAATGTTCACGTGTTCCAACATACTGTGATTTTATATATTTATGGGTTTTATTTACTTTCAGTTCCTACAACGTATACTTAAATAAACACATTCTCATAGAAAACATTGCAAAACGAAACATGACACGTTATTGTAGAAGTGATCTGTGTAGCTTCAGTGCATGAGCAATAGCGATGGAGAGTTAAACATGTGGGAATTGATGCAATGACATACATGTACATGTAGCTGAAGAAGTGCTAAGTAATGTGGGTGTTTCAAATACTACAAATGTTATGCACAGATTAGAGTTGCAACTGAATATTTCATGACCAATTAACGTACATCAGAAACATCTGTTGGGAATCCTTCCCATTGTTGTACTCATGCCGCTCAAGCTACAATGAAAGACAAAGAGCCTACATTTACTGGGACGAGTCCAAATTTACTACCCGGGTACCCACCCCCTATTACCCCCTATTACTCGACCCTACCTAGGTACCCACTGTAGGTCTCAAGAGATACAAAATGTCCGATTGGGAATTTTTTTTCCCACAGCACTTGCAAAACGTATTTAGATACATGTATTAAACGATCTGGTCATGCATACACTGAAGTTCACTTAAGTTATATCCTTATTCAACCATATGAAAAGTCAGAAGGAATGGGTGCATAGTCAGAAAGAAATGCGAACATTAGTGACTTATAGTGTAACCATAGAGTTCTAAATAATTTTTGTCTTTAAACTATAGATCACATAACCACGGGTCCGGGTAGTCCTGTTGGTACCCGGGTCCTACTCAGTACCCACCCGACCCGTGTACCCGAGTTACCCGTCCCAGCCCTACAGTGTCCAACATATGAAGAAACGTATTGGAACAACGTACATCATATATGCACTCAACCCAGTAAAATAGTTGTCCTCTGTATATTTACAATAGGGCACAGCTGGCCCAGCCGTCTAAGGTACTGCAATCCTATAGAACTATAGTCTATAACGATTACGGCTATTGATATCTAATTTCCCCTTCAAAGGATGTCTGTATTTGCTTCTCATTACAACGATAGTCTGTGTAATTAGGCCATATTTCCGATTGTATTAACGGAAAACATGGTGGGTAGGTCGAAATATGACGCACATTTCTGTGTTATGCTGCTATAAAGTATGAAAATATTAAAATCGTTGACAAGGTACGTACCCTCTAGGGTTCGATCTAACACAAAGTTTACATGGTTTCAAAAATTGCATTATATATATTTCTTTTTATAAATTATCTGCTTTGCACATTGGGATATGTTGAAAATAGCCATAAAGGGGGAAAAGAGACTTTTTCAGCTATGAATTCGCATATGTAAGAACAATTAGGAATGAACTGGAACTCTTGTTTCAAGATAAAACAGGAATTAAAATAGATATAACAAGGTAGCCGGTTCTATTTGGGTGTCAGAAAGAAGGAACGATGTATGAACTTTGTACTAATTCTTAAATCTTAAATAATCTTACTAAATAGAGTATTTTAAAAGAAAATCCTCCGATATGGTCCCTTGTTTGATAATATAGAACAGGAAATATTGAAAGCCTTCCACTATCAGGTTATTCCTCGCTTAACACAATTATGAGTTGTAGGTATTCCTGTCCTCAGTTATTTTATGAAATGAGCAAATCTTGTATTTTTATACGCTCTGAGAACAAATTGTTACTAAATACACCAATACATTATACGTCATCAAATCACACAATGCGTATTATACTTTTTGTCAGATACATATCTGCATTGTACAAATGCCATGCCTTGAAAGACGTGTTCATGAATTGTATTTGACAAAGATTCGTATGTAGACTATATTTAAGTATATATAAAGATTAATTAATATATATGAGATTCGTGTATGAGATACCTAAATAAAATTTATAAACATTTTTTAAATACATTCATTCGTAAACCAAGATAAACAATATAGGGGTTAAAGTGAAATTTATTAGTTAATGACTCCAATGGTAATATATTTAGGTATTCAAAACAAAAAAGGTTGATAAGGCTAAACTGCATATGTTCATTACCCTGATGGTCAAGATTTTAATTGACAATGTTCCGATATACGTACCTACCATCGATTGTATACGACAGGAAATACCGAATGCCTCCCTCTTAAACAAATATTTATCTTATTCCTCATTTAAAACAATTTATGTTGGTCTTCCTATCCTCAGTAAGTTTATGTGCCGCCTCCGTGGTCTTGTGGTAGAGCGTCCGCCTGGAGAGCGGAAGGTCCGGGGTTCGATCCCCAGCCGCGTCATACCAAAAGACGTTAAAAGATGGTACTTGTTGTTACCCTGTCTGTCGCTCGACATTAAGGGGCTAAAGCAAGGACTGGTCGGCTCGGAGTCAGTAAACTGTGTCTGTGTCACACACACACGTGCATGCACGTCGCTATATAAGTGCAATAATCTTGGACGCTACGTTAAACCCAAATTCACCTTACCTCAGTAAGTTTATGACAGCGAATCGTGTATATGTATACTCTCTAAGAACTATTTGATACTTAATACACCAACACGTGGTACGTTCTCAAATTAGACAATGCATATTATACCTTTTTGTTAGATACATATCTACATGCCATGTCTTGAAGACGTGATCATGAAGTTCAACTGTAAAAACGAGTTGTATGTAAAATATAAGTATGTATATAATATATATGACATTTGTATATGAGCAAAGTATCTATACGTCTTTGATATGAGGAACCTGAATAAAGTTTTTAAAGTATAATAAGAAAAATTGAAATGTACTCATAACTAAGGTCGACGGATTCGCCAACCAAGTAAATCAATGTTAGGACCAACGTGAAATTGACTAATTTTTAAACTTATCCTATCTCACACTATGCATCTCTCTTTCTTCTTTCGATTCTGAGTGGAAACGTATCTGAAATAAAAGTTTCCAGCTTCTAAAGTTAATTAACCCTGTCATACCTCACATCGTCACGGTCACCTCCCAGATCTGGGTCATGCGCGCTATGCATGCTGGTTGACCTTCTTGCACTGATCACGTGTCTATCCCAGTCAACTCATTCTCTTTCAAATCGCCACGCAGTGGTGACGTGTTGTTATTACAGGAATCCATTTTGGGTTTTTCTTTTCGCTTGCAAGCGATCTTCATATTTTTGTCGTCTAATTGCCTGCAAATTTACTTATATCCCTGTTTGGGATAGTTATTCATCATAATGGACGAGCAGTCCACACGGAGACCTGTCTGCACTTTGTGCCGACG